GGTGGATTCTACTCACTGTTCTTTATTCTTCGTGGAAAGATTTCTCTTCTGGAATCTGGAGCCCCTGTGTGTAGGAATGAAGAAAGGGGAAGATCTGCTAGGAGGTACATTTTCATTATTGTAAATATACCCTCAAACAATAGTAAAAACGAGAAGAGTATTTCACTTTCTCTGAGAACAGTGTTTAACTTTCTCAGTATTTTAATAATGCCACTTGAAGGCCGTATGTGATAAAGCTCAGTCATAAATGAATTCTTTTAAATTCTAATCTTCCAGAGTTTTCCTGAATTTTGAACATCCAATGTGTGGATTCTCAACTTAAATTCCCAAAAGGAGAATGAAGATCCTTCCTCCTCTATGAAATATTTTTTTCTCTTCCCCCTGTGCCTACCATCCATCCCAGTAGAGACAAACAGTCCTAGAAATTTGGGGGTTATGAAGATGTTGCCAAAAGGCTATATTCTGCCTTTGCATAGTTCCACAGGGGGGTTGCACCAAATAAGTAATAGAGCTATTTTTAATTTTTAAAAACAGATTTTTTGATGTATAAATGACGTACAATAATTTGCGCAAAGCCAACGTGGGTAATTTGATAAATGTCGACATGTCTACATCCATTTTTTTTTAAAAGATTTTATTTATTTATTTGACAGAGAGAGACACAGCGAGAGAGGGAACACAAGCAGGGGGAGTGGGAGAGGGAGAAGCAGGCTCCCCGCAGAGCGGGGAGCCCGATGCGGAACTCGATCCCAGGACCCTGGGATCATGACCTGAGCTGAAGGCAGTCACTCAACCAACTGAGCCACCCAGGCACCCTACATCCATTTTGAAATTGGTTTCTCCTGTCACTTTGCAATCCCCCCTTCCTGATCACCCCTGCCCCCCCAGCAACCACCTGTCTTTTGTCACTATATATTCATTTTCATTTTCTAGAATTCTATGTAAATAGAATCATTATATGCACTCTTTTTTGGGGGGGATGTGACTTCATTATCTCGGCATAAATATTTTGATTCATCCATGTTGTTCCTTCTATCCACAGTTTATTCCTTTTTGTTGCTAATTAGCATATTATTGCATGGATATACCATTCACCTATTTGTGGACATTTGGGTTGTTTCTAGCTCGGGATTATTATAAATAAAGCCACTATGAATATTTGGGTACAATCTTTGCATGGACATGTATCTTCATTTCTTTTTGGCAAATACCTAAGAGTGCAATGGCTAAGTAATACTGTAATAGTATCACTCAGTGACTGAGTATTCAGAGAAGCTAAATCACACAAACAAATTTAGTGGTAGCCTCACATTGCATCAGTGTTTAAATATTACGAGACATTGAATTGAAAACTGTTGAATAAAGGGATGCCTCGGTGGCTCAGTCTGTTAAATATTTGCCTTCCACTCAGGTCATGATCTCAGGGTCTTGGGATGGAGCCTTTGCATCTCCTGGGCTCCCTGCTCAGCGGGGAGTCCACTTCTCCCTCTCCCTCTGCCCCTCCTTCTGCTCATGTGTGCTCTCTCTGTCTCCCTCTCAAATAAAATCTTTAAAAATTTTTTGAATAAATACATTGATTCATTTTTTCCTGGATTTTTTTTCATCTCATCTTCTTATTCCAATCAAAAATTTAATAAAATATGCATAACTGTTTCCAAAGGAGATTCAAAGAAGTTAAGATATGTACTTTTATCACTTGTAAATTGCAAAGGTGAGATTCAAGACCACTTTAATGTGTCTCTAGAACCTATAACTCTTTCTCTGTCTGGCTCAGTCTCTCTCTCCGTCCTTCCCTCTCTCTCTCTGTCTCTCTGTCTCTTCCTCCCCCTCCCCCCTCTTTCCCTCTCAGCAGGGCTTTTATGCTTCAGGGAGGTTTATGGAGGAGGTGTGATTTTAGTCAGCCTTTGATAAGCGGGTGATATTTGAGTAAGAGCAAAGAAGAAACACCAAACGTGGAAATAGGAAATCATGAGTTGTGTTTGAGAGACTATAAAGACACTAGCCTGAAAAGGGAGACAATTTACGCAGGGAAGTAGTCCATATTGAGGCTGGGGTCAGCATCCCAGCTCTAGGAGTCTCCAAGGATTTCTGAGGAAGAGCGGGAAGATGAGGAACTGAAGGTATCAAGTCAGGGGTCTGGATCCACAGAGGCAAGGTGACTAGTTGAGTATCCACAGACATATCCAGATGGTGTGGGAGTGAGAGTTCGAAAGTGAGGATGGTGAAAAGAATGGAAAGGAAGGTGCTGGTGTGAAAACACTCAAAGAAGAAATGGCCCACAATTTGTAACTGATTGGGTATAATTAGCTCTTGAATTTTCCTCTCGTCGCTTGCTCCTGTCTTGTGGAGGGATAAGCTCTGTTCAATCTAAGATTTGACCAGGAGAAGCCAATTGGCATCATTTTCTCAGTTAAGTCGCTAGAAAGGATTGGTTTCCTTGTCTTCATTGGCAGGTCATTATCGTTAGCATAAATGACGTTGTGTAGTTTTCTTCGGGTCATCCGGAGATATAAATATAGGGCGGTTGGTTGAGCAATGAAACTGAGTGTCACTTACCTCAGACCATTCCCTGTAAGAGGCTGCTTCGAAAAAAAATTCTCCTAGTAGAGTGATATACTGACATTTTCTTCTTTGCTCTCAAAGGAACTGCTCACCAAATTTCAGTCATTTGAGGGTCCTGCTTGTTCCGTAGCAGCTGTGACAGGTTTAGCGACATGAGGTTCCTGTCCAAAATGTACGGTTCATGTTTAACTTTGTTCAATTTGGGATGAAAAGGGGACTCCAGAAAACACTGGTGTGTAAACAACTGAAACTCAGCCTTCAGACTGGAAGGGCTGTCAGGCTGTGAAAGTCTTATGAAGAATCTCTGGATAATGGTTTATGATATTATCTTTCCCTAAGGACCCAAGAAATGGAAAAGATATTAATTTTTCTATGAGGAGCTTTTGGCAAAGCACCACAAATGCACTTCGTTAAAAACATCTTCGTGCCTCAAACCCACAGGCTGGAATATGTAATACATATGTCGAGGGGCTAATGGGGCCTTAGTGGGAGTGATCCCTGGGAGAACCCACAAGAGAGGTACTCATGGAAACAGACTTTCCTGCTTCTTCACATGGGCCTTAAACATTCAGTGAAAGAGTCATTCAGCTGCCATGATGTTGATTTCGTTTGCTACTCTCTTCCCTCCTCTACCCTCCTTTCCCTTTGAACGAAGGGAGACGCCCCCTCTATCAGCGTGGGATTCTGCGGTCATAAGAGTATTTGCTTTCTATGACCCAGAACAATCTCTGAGGCTGTAGCTCTGGGCCTGCGCCACAGAAAGTGGGTATGGTCTGAGGGGAGAGGTATGGAGAGGATAATTCTTGGGTACCTTTCATGTCAGAGACCATGAGTTAAATGCTGCTACACAATCAATCTCTATTTTCGCAACAACCCAAGGAAAAGGGCGCGGTGTAACTTGTCAAAGCTCCCCCAGTCAGTAAGCAGAAAAATTGAAATTTGAAGTGAGCAGTTTGGTTCCCTGTAGCAGAAGTTCCTGGTGCCTGTCTACAACCCCTCCTTCTGGGGGCAAGCCAGCTATCGCCCTGGCTGAGAACTTTCAGTGGCAGCCCCAAGGTAGGCTAGGAGTCCCAGAGAATATCCCCTGTGCCACCCCCCCCCCCCACACACACACCGGGCAGCCGCCAATGATGGATTATGGCAGGCAGTAGATAAATTAAATACTCTGACTCCAATATCTTCTCGATGGGAAAACTCTGAGACTTACACATTATTGAAGCTTGGAGGTCTCCAGTGGGACAAAGCTTCTGCTCTGTGCACTGGAAACTGCCTTCAGACTGCTCACTTTATCTTCCCTGTCTACCTCCCCACCCCGCTCTGAGTATTTCTTGCAATCACCTCCCACGTAAATTGCTTGGTGGCGAATCAAGCAATTTCTGGGGGAATAGCTTTCCTTTCTGGGGAAACGCAAACTAGGAAACACTTCAAAGCTGAACTCATTCTCAAAGGCATATGAAAGATAACTCATTAGACATGTTTATAAGTGTTGCCTCTCACTGTCCTTTCTTCATGTTTCTCCGTCCTTCTGGATTCCTCTGTCTCCATCCCACAGGTCACCATGTGCCTTCCTGCTGCCTGCCGCCTCCCCCTTCCTCATATTTCTCTCCTGCACAAACAAAACCCCGATTTTTCTCTGTGAGGTAGTGGGGAGAGTCTAACCCCATCAAAACAAATCAACCTCAGTCATGAGTGGTTCATAACTCTTCCCTCTGTCAGATAAATTTGCATTTTTTAAAGGGATACGTGTTTATATTTTTATTTATTTACTTATTTTATTTTTAGAGAGAGAGAGTACAAGTTGGGGGGAGCACAGGGTAGGAAGAGGAAGAAGGAAAGAATCCCAAGCAGACTCCGCGCTGAGCACTGAGCTCTGAACTTAACGTCGGGCTGGATCTCACAACCCTGAGATCATGACCAGATCGGAAACCGAAAGTTAGACGCTTAATAGACTGAGCCCCACAGGTGCCCCTAAACTTGCATTTTAAAATAACCTGTCTTTTCCAAATGAATTTCTAATGAGTGCTGGATCAGGAGTTTAAGAGAAATGACAACTTTCAGGCTTTGTGATACATAACAGTTAAGGAAACTGAGGAATAAGGCAGGAATTCTTGAAGAAGCTGGATGAGACATTACCTGTGACATGACATGAGCTGGGCTTTGCAAGACAAATAGGACTGGATCAGGTTGCCAAGCAAGAGCAGGGACTTGATTTTTTTTTAACTTTTAATCTTGAAATAATTTTCAATTCACCTAAGGGTTTCAAAGATAGTACAAAGAGTTCCTACATACCTTTTGCCCAGTTTCTCCTAATGTCAGTATCTTCTTTTTCACAGTGCATTTATCACCATGAAATGAATAATGGCATAATACCATTAATTAAACTACAGGCTTCAGATTTCAACAGTTTTCCCAGTAATGTCCTTTTTTTTCTGTTCCAGGAGGCAAGCACAAGTTCCTCTGACTGCTCTGCCATCTTAACTCCTTCTCTATCTGGTCCAGGATCCAGCCCTGCGTACCACATTGTATTTAATCATCATGGCTCTTGAGACTCCTTCAGACTGGTGCAATTATTCTATCTTTTAGAAAGACCCTTTAGCTTTCATAATCCAAGCAATGGTAGGTACTTCTATATTATAAAACCCATTTTATAGATGAGAAAACTGAGGTTTAGAAATAAGAAGTGAATGTTGAAGGTCACATATAACTAGAACTAGGACTAGCCTAGGTCTGGCTGCTCAACCAGGGTCATTCTACCATGCTAAATTTCTATTTTTTCTTTTCTTCATATTTACTCTCTCCCAACCGGTCTCTCCTATCATTTCCACTATCTGCTCATTTCCTCCCCCTCTAGGACTTTTCCCCTACCATATATATACGATGGGAAGCCTGCAGACATTGACGAGGATGTGGAGAAGGGGGATGTGGTATGTGTGTGTGATATATATATACACACACACACTGGAGTATTACTCAGCCATCAAAAAAAAAAAAAAAGAAAGAAAGAAAGAAATCTCGCCATCTGCAACTACCTGAATGGAACTAGAGGGGATTATGCTAAGCAAAATAAATCAATCAGAGAAAGACAGTTATCACATGATTTCACTCATATGTGGAATTTAAGAAAGAAAACAGATGAACATGGGGAAGGGAAGGAAAAATAAAATAAGATGAAAATCAGAGAGGGAGACAAACTATAAGAGACTCTTAACCATAGGAAACAAACTGAGGGTTGCTGGAGGGGAGGTGGATGGAGGGATGGGGTAACTGGGTGATGGGCATTAAGAAGGGCACATGATGTGCTCAATATCGCTCGGCATCAGGGAAATCCAAATCAAAACCTCAATGAGATACCACCTCACACCAGTCAGAATGGCTAAAATTAACAAGTCAGGAAACGACAGATATTGGCGGGGATGCGGAGAAAGGGGAACCCTCCTACACTGTTGGGAATGCAAGCTGGTGCAGCCACTCTGGAAAACAGTATGGAGGTTCCTCAAAAAGTTGAAAATAGAGCTACCATATGATCCAGCAATTGCACTACTGGGTATTTACCCCATAGATACAAAAGTAGGGATCCGAAGGGGTACGTGCACCCCGATGTTTATAGCAGCAATGTCCACAATAGCCAAACTGTGGAAAGAGCCAAGATGTCCATCGACAGATGACTGGATAAAGAAGATGTGGTATATATATACAATGGAATATTATGCAGCCATCAAAAGGAATGAGATCTTGCCATTTGCAACGACGTGGATGGAACTGGAGGGTATTATGTTGAGTGAAATAAGTCAAAAAGAGAAAGACATGTATCATATGATCTCACTGATATGAGGAATTCTTAATCGCAGGAAACAAACTGAGTGTTGTTGGAGTGGCAGGTGGGGTGGGAGGGATGGGGTGACTGGGTGATAGACACTGGGGAGGGTATGTGCTCTGGTAAGCGCTGTGAATTGTGCAAGACTGTTGAATCTCAGATCTGTACCTCTGAAACAAATAATGCAATATATGTTAAGAAAAAAAAAAGAAGAAGAAGAAGAAGGTAGCGGGAGGGGAAGAATGAAGCAGGGGAAATCGGAGGGGTAGACGAACCATGAGAGACGATGGACTCTGAAAAATAAACAGGGTTCTAGAGGGGAGGGGGGTGGGAGGATGGGTTAGCCTGGTGGTGGGTATTGAGGAGGGCACATTCTGTATGGAGCACTGGGTGTTGTGCACAAACGGTGAATCATGGAACACTTCATCTAAAACTAATGATGTAATGTATGGGGATTAACATAAAAATAAAAAAAAAAAAGAAGGGCACATGATGTAATGAGCACTGGGTGTGATATGCAACTGATGAATTGTTAAACTCTACCTCTGAAACTAATAATACACAATATTTTAATTAATTAATTTTAAGTAAAAAAAAATTCCCTGCAACTGCATATAAAATATTAAACAACAACAAAAAAAAGATGGGCAGGCTAGGCTGAAGATGAAATAATGTCATCCAGTTTGTCACCTCTATGACTTAACATAAGGCCAGTCTTGTCTAGAGTCAAACAGTCCGGACTAGCACAAACCCTGGAAGAAAGATTGTTGAAGGTGGGGAGGAACTCTGCTTTTGGCTGCAACTAAAAGGAGGACATTTTCCTAGGCCAGTGGGGTCCTCAGCCCAGATGACTTTCAATCATGAAGAGATTTCTTTCACCATTGGTCACATATCTCCTTTTCCCCTCATGCTCTTTTGCCTTTATTAATTTTGGCCCAGAACTTTCTTTCTTGAGGTGAATAAAAACCAAGGAATTGCTGCTCCCCACCTGGAATGCTAGACTGTTAACTATGTCCTGGAGGATAATGGCACATTTCCAAGATGACCATCGGCAGCCAAGGCATTATAATAGGCTTTGTACCATGGGAGGATGTAAATCAGGCTTCACACCTGGCCATGTCTGTTTATTAGGAGTTATTTGCAAAGGACTCTGCTTACCCTTGCATTCTGTAGTTAATAGCATTTTCCTTCCTGGAACAAATTTCCTCTAAAGCTGAGACTGTAGAGAGTCACCATGAGCTTTATTTATGAATGCAGCTCAGAGACAAAGCCTGATCCAAGGAACTAATGCTGAAAAGTCTTAATAGCACGATGCTAAATGAACTTAGAGACCTTTACCCCCACCACAAGAGAGCACTTGTTAGAAGCTACAGGGAGTCTATGGAACTGGAAAGTGGGCACTATCTTAGCATGGGGGTAAATGGATGATGTCAGTTTCTGTGCCTGAAGCTACTTCTTCCTATTTTCCATTTTTTTCCTCTCCAGCCTATGATAGACATGTAACCAGATGCTGATAGAACAATAGGAGAGGTAGATTCTTTTTTTTTTTTTAAGTAATAAGTTGTTTGTTTTTTTATAGATTTTTATTTATTTCTTGACAGAGAGAGAGAGAGACAGCGAGAGAGGGAACACAAGCAGGGGGAGTGGGAGAGGGAGAAGCAGGCTCCCCGCCGAGCAAGGAGCCCGATGTGGGGCTCGATCCCAGGACTCCAGGATCGTGACCTGAGCTGAAGGCAGACGCTAAACGGCTGAGCCACTCAGGCGCCCCAGGAGAGGTAGATTCTTAAAGAAGATTATAAAGTGTGTGTGTGTAGGGGGAGGTATGTATGTGCTGGAGAACAGTGGTGGTGAGTAGGAGAAGACCCTCTTGAGAATTAGCCCTTAGAACTAACCCAGCCAAGTCTCTTCATTGAGAGAAGAAACTGAGGTCTTACGTCGGGCTTAATTTATACAAGGGCAACCACTCACCAGGAGCAGAGCCGGAGCTGGAATCAGGGTCTTGCCTCTGCAGAATTGATTACTCCTTCTGGGAACTGTGCTATGATAGTATTTAAGAGGTCAAGTCTACTTCAAGCTCAGTCCAGTTAGATTAAAAAAAAAAAATGGGGGTGGTGCCTGGGTGTCTCAGTTGGTTAAGCATCTGCCTTAGGCTCAGGTCATGATCCCGGGGTCCTGGGATCGAGCCCCGTGTCCGGCTCCCTGATCAGCAGGAAGTCTGCCTTTCCCTCTCCCTCTGCTGCTCCCCCTGCTTGTGCTCTCTCTCTCTCTCTCCTTCTCAAACAAATAAATAAAATCTTTTTAAAAAATTGGGCACTTACCAGAATCTAGTAGATGAGTATGGCAAGAGGGTGGACGTTCTCATTAATATCAGTACCCCATTTCTTCCCAAACTGAGGCATGTATGAGTATCTCTATGTAGCAGAGGGTTAAGTGTTTTCCCCAGGTTATCCTAAGTTATTATGACCAGGTCTTATAAATCAAACCACAGTGCTTATATCACTAAAGTACTGCCTCTGTAATGTACATACAGGCTCTACGAGGGAAAAAAGAATATCTTTTGGGGGCACTGTTGTTTCTACAATATCAAAAATTATTATTGTGGTCATAGCACTATCTTTTGTAGAACCCATCATAGAGCCCATAGTGCTGCTTCTACATGGTTTGTGTGCCTATTTAACCAATGTCTAACTCCTTCAGTGCATAGTAAATGTCTTGAGTCCAGGGATTAAATTTCTTCCTCTTCATTGTATTTCTAACTCCTAGCAATATGCTTGATCCATTGTGGGCACACGATGTAATTTGGTGAGATGAATATGGAATAGGGTGTTAAAAAGAACATCAAATTTCAAGACAGAAAGTCTATATTTTAAATCTAGCTTTAACAGTAGTTATAGGTCCTTGGGTCAGTCAATTAGCACCTCAACATTCAGCTTTTTCAACTGTAAAATCACAGTAACAACAACCAGTCAACAAATATTTTCCAGCCCCAACTTCCATGGGCCAGATCCTGTGCTAGGAGCTAGAGACAATGCTACATACACAAGGATAGAACTTGCTCTTGGGCTCAGGGAATTTAGCCTTCCTGGTTATTTTGCATGATGGCTGTGAAAATCAAATGATAGCACTCATTCATTCGACAAATATTTATTGAGTACCTGCCATGTTCTTGGCATTGCTCTAAGCACCAGCTAGATAGTAAAGAACACAACCAAGTCCTTGATCTCATAGGATTTATATTTTAATGGGAGAGGCAAGCGGGCAGGCATGTATTTCAAAGTAAAAACAAATTAGGAAGTGGCCAAGGGTATTCTTGAGTCATTGTGGCTGAGACTTTCTGGGAGTTGGGATTTGTCTGAAACCTTTGGCATCCAAGAGATTTTATGTTTTTTTAAATCCAGACAAGGTGAGTTTTATCACTCTGTATGGTCAGTAAAAGAGAGAAGAATATGTGTGCGTGTGTTTTGGTCTCATCTGGATAGTGTCTTTTGGTCTTGTCTGGATAACAAGAGCAGATTTTCAGCAGTGGGGTGCTTTTTGCCTGTGCATGATCAAGTTTTCTGGGAATTCAGTCTTTGGTTCATGGGGTTCTGACTTTCATCTGACTTCTACGTATATCTCAGTCTCAGACCTACAGAAAAACCACACGAGGTAAGAAAGACCCAGCACCAGAATTATCAAACAATTCCCTTTCATATCATTCTGAATAGTGACTGTATATCCTGCCCATTCAGAGGTTTTTTGGCATCCCAAATTATCAAATATTTTTGTTTTCACTAGCTCCATGGTAGATTTGGCTTAATAT